GGAGTAAAGTTAAGGTGGCCTCCTTCCACTGTGTTGGCAAACGGCACTGAAGTAGATAAAGACGGAATTATTTCCTTAAACTTGGTAACAGCATTGTCAGATAGACATCTACTGTAGTGGAATTGTTTCCCACACAGAGTATAATCCATTAATGGAAATTCAAAAGTTATTAGAAAATGGTCAGACAGAAGAGGATTTGGGGGAAAAACTATTAAGTGTTCAGTTTCAATGCCATATGTCAGAACAAGATCAAGAGTGTAATTAAAACAGTGAGTGGGTTTATTTACAGTTTGAGAGAAGCCAACTGAGTCTAATAATGAACAGAATGGCTAAACTGTTGCACTATAGAGTTATAAAAGAATAATAAATGAAATACCCAGGGTTGAAATACATAGAACATTAAGAATATATGTGGAATGTGAAACCACAGACCTCAGTGTGTTGTATGTTTGTGTTTCCTCTCTTAGGCAGGGCACCCATTCCAGCAGCGATGTGCCCACTCAGCCTACTCACATGCTCGTCTCCAGCACGAGTCCCCAGTCTTCCTACTGCTTTTGGACTGTGTGTGGCAGGTGTGGCGTCAGTTCCCTCTGGCACTGGGCTTCTCTGAGGCGCTGCTCCTGAGGCTGGCTACCGAGGCCTACGCCTCTGACTTCGGCACCTTCCTGTGTAACAGTGATCAGGAGCGGTCAGTCATACTTCTCGGCAGGAAAATTGATGACTGATACAAACATAAACTAACCTTTAATGTCACATCCAAGGTGGTAGTTACCCTGTACTTCACTCCTCCCTTTCAGGTGTGTCCTGGGAGTGAAGGAGAGGACGCACTGTTTGTTCCAGGACCTGTTGAGGCCCAGCGACAGAGATTACTACTCCAACCCGCTTTATGAGTGCACTGAGCTGGCTATCTGGCCTTCAGTCCACCCTCAGTCCCTGCAGCTCTGGAGAGGTGAACTCGGATTGACATATATTAATGTTTTGTCCTGTGCTCATTTAATATTCACCTCATGATGTTTTCATTGTTTAGTGCTGTAACTTTACAGTGTTACAATTTTATTTAAGTGTTGGTGCTGCTGACACAAGTGCATGTCTGGTCCTTAGGCTTTTTTCTGAGGTGGACCCAACAAGCACGTCACCTTGAAGAAGCTCAGGAGGGAATAAGGAGCATGCTGATTGAGTGGGGGAAGCTGGAACTCAGCTGATACACACACAGTGTGCATGAACATGTGGAATATGATTTAGGGAGGAATGTTACAATGTACAATGCCTTGGAACTGTGGATATGTTTTTCAGAATTCTTAATAATAATCACCTTTATTTGGTCAAGTGGCAACTTGGGGGTTCAGTGTCTTGCCCATGGACACTTCGACATGTGGACTGCAGGCACAGTGATTTGAACCTCCAACTCTCCGGTTGGGAGATGACTACTCTACCCACTGAACCACAGTCACCCCGCCCTGTTCACAACCTACTGTACAGTATTTTTTATTTTTTCATTAAAATTGTATTAGAGAAAATTGTTGGTATCATTATATCTTCTCTAAATATATGTTTTGCATAATGGGATAATTATTTAATGACATGTATTGACTCATGAATATTATCAATAGCCTATATAAGGGACACACCTGCCAGTCCTGTTAAGCTCAGCTAAACACTCTTCACAATACAAATCTGTGTGCACAGCAAGTCAGCATGTTTGCACACACATGGCGCTTTGGAGGCTGCAGTCTGGAGTCCTGGTCAGTCTAGAGCCACTAGCCGAGGCGATTTTACAAAGTGGACTGGAAACAGCCCAGCATGACTTTCTATACCTGCTTCTTTATCCGGTGGTTACTTGGTGAACTGAATTTGTGACTAGTTGGTAATTCAGACAGTTAAGTGTCTTATATTATCAGCTTTTATTTTGTAATTTAGCTTAAAGAAAACATTTTCGATTTATTAAGCTGCATCTACTGGTTTTTGGATCAAGAATAATCTGTCTGGGATTTCTGACACAGGTAATATATTTTTTATTTTCCATACCCTATTTAAGTTTGATCTGAGGCTGTAAAGTTAATATTTTAACACAGCTTGTCTTGCTGATCATTACCAAGATGTAGAAGGGTAATCAGTGTAATCTATATATTCTGCTTTAGTTTCATTCAACTTTTCTGAAAGACCACTACTAGACATGCAGCTGGGTGTGCGGGTCTGTGTGGCCATCCTGGGCCTGTTTCGCCAAGGTTGTCTCAGCAGAGCACGAATTTTGCCCCATTGCAGCTTCAGTTCTTTGCCCAGACAGATGAGCAAGTGGGACAGCCATGAGACCTGCAGCCTCCCATCCCCACAGGACAAGCCTCGTGTCCTCATCACAGGTGATACAAATATCCATCTGTCATTGCCTTTTCCTGAAATTTACATATTCAGGAAAAGATGGGCTTTTCCACATCTACAATGAACCTGTGAAGCTGCCATTGTTTTCTGATACTTTTGCTGTGTAGTCACTGTATTGTACTGTTGTCCACAGAGCAGTTACAATATGTGCAGAGTGCCTTGCTCAAGGGCACATTTGAAAGGAGCTGAGAGAGTTCATAAAGGTGGTTTGACATAAATAAAACATGAGTGCTCATGGACAGACTCATATCACTGTGGCATCAAATGGCATGAGTGGAATACTACAGACACACAAGCTGTCATTTTTTTCTTTTCGAGTTTTCCCTGTGCAGTAGCACCAGGACCCCATATTGACTTGTCACAATAGAGTTCACGCAGACAGTGCTACTGAAAAAAAGCCAGTGAATGGGAATAATGGTCTGCTGTCACTTTTTGGCACAGGATGAAGCTTTGGAACAAACACAAAGCTTTTTTTTCCTCTGTAGCATGTTGCACCAAAAAACAGTGATTTCATTTTTACACCAAACTCCACTGATAACATTTTAAACTCTGTGTTGCAGGTGGCCTTGGGCAGTTAGGTGTGGGGCTTGCACAAATACTGAGGTGAGATATTTAGAAATTCCAGAGTTGTTGTTTTTTTTTGGAATGTTTGAAAAATGAATGTCATCATATCTACATTAACATCTAGAAAACAGTATGGAACAGAGAATGTAATCCTGACAGACATCAAGAAGCCTGCACCTCATGTTTTCAGTAACGGTATGCAAAATCAAATACAATTTTTTTTCTTACTTTTTTGCTTGTTTTTTTTTCCAAAATAATTTATAAAATTCTCAAATATAATTACTGCTTTAAAATGATCTCTCCAGCTTCCTCTCTTGTCCCATCAGGTCCATTTGTGTATGCTGATGTGCTGGACTACAAACACCTCAGAGAACTAATTGTAACTAATGGGATCACTTGGCTGGTCCACTACAGCGCTCTGCTTAGTGCTGTGGGTGAAGCTAATATGGCTTTGGCACGCAAGATCAACATCACAGGTCTACTGGAATGCACATACCATTTACATGGACTACATTTTTTAGGTATTATTATGTTTTAACCTCCATCTAGGATGTTCTGTTGTCCATACAGGCCTTCATAATGTTCTGGACTTGGCCCTGGAGCACTGTCTGCGCTTCTTTGTCCCCAGCACTATTGGAGCATTTGGTCCCTCTTCTCCACGTGACCCAGCCCCTGACCTCTGTGTTCAAAGACCTCGAACCATCTATGGGGTGTCCAAAGTGCATGGAGAACTGATGGGGGAGGTAAAATGATCTTAAATTCCACACACACATAGAGAGACACCTACTGTATAATGATACAATTGCATGTAGTGATTTTCAAATCTCAGGATCAGTCTCCTCCTCTTTTTTTAGTATCTCCATCATAAATATGGCCTGGACTTCCGCTGCCTACGTTACCCAGGTGTGATATCAGTCAACACACCTCCTGGAGGTGGGACAACAGGTATTTCTTGACCTCACATCTACATATACAGTATATACAGTTTTCAGGTGGATGAGCACTCTGGACCTCTGTCTTTACAGACTACGCAGTTCAGATCTTCCATGACGCTCTCAGCACAGGTCACCATGAGTGCTACCTGCGACCTGACACTCGTCTTCCCATGATGCATATCTCTGACTGCCACCGCGCCACAGTAGAGTTCATGCAGACTCCAGAAAGCCAGCTATCCCTGCGTACCTACAACATTGCTGCCATGAGCTTCACTCCAGATGAGTTGGCCCAAGAGATACAGAAACATCTCCCTCACCTCAAGGTCACCTACAGTCTTGATCCTGTCCGCCAGACCATCGGTATGACTTCAGTCAAAAACGTATAATTAAAATATTTAGAAAATAGAGTGCTTTACTTAGAAGTCAAGATGTCAGATTTGAAAGTTCTTCAGCCTCACAATGGGGATGGTGTGATCAAACAGTGATGGACAGTAAATACAAGAATACCTAAGCTGGAATAATGCAGCTAGTTACCAATGGGAGGTTTATCCTTCAGAGGACATGATGAGATCTTTAACTGAAAAAAATGTGACAGTTTAAAAAACTAAACAAAATGTTTTAGGTTTGGGAATGTCTTTGTTTTCCTATTTAATTGTTGTGATTCAAGTTAATGCGGTCATCTTGCTTGGCTCTTTGCAGCAGACAGCTGGCCCATGAGGTTCGATGACACCAATGCCAGGAGAGACTGGGGCTGGGCACCAGCCTTCGGGCTTGAAGAGCTGGTAGCAGATATGCTACGCTCCATTGAAGACATGAGGGTCAGCCAGGGTTTGCCAGTCAACTAGTGAAACCTGCTCCACAAAGCTTGACCAGTGCCCTACCCCTGACTAACAATATGTCTACGTTCGCTTCACTTTCACAAGTTGTCAACCACTATTCTGTGTTCCTCTGTGAAGTTGTAAAGTGGGAGCTCTCAGTCAGAACCTTTCAGTGGACAGTAAGACAACATACACATATGACACATGACATAACATTTTTTTTCTGGCAGTTTTATAAGGCAGGCTTATAATATAGTCTGTTAAGTGAAAATCACACACTGTATACAACTCTTTGGCTTCTGACAGGAAGTCTCTATTTTACTTTTCTGCCAGCAGTGTGAGTTTTGGTTATGAGTACCATTAACCAACAAAGCCTTTTTTATCTGTATGTTACTTTGGAAAACAATATAGAAAAAATGCAGTGCACTTTGAATCAGACTTTGAATAATAAAAATGTTATCTACCCAAACAATAGTGATTATTGTATAATACCAAAATGTATGTAATCTACATAGAGAATGTTCATATTGATTTTAACATATTAAATACTTCTATTCCACTACATTTCTAAGAAAACTGATGTACTACATTTATGTTATCATTATGTTACCACTATAAATAGTATTCACTTTCCAAGTTCTGATTTTATAAACAAAACCCAAATAAAATGACGCATATGAAGCGACCCAGAAGTAGGCTAGTTCAAACTGGGCCAAACTATAAAACTATGATATAGGATATGTAATATAACAACGCTCAGGGGTTATTTACATAATTAGTACTTTAAATACTTACATTGTGTGGATTATGCTTAGGTACTTTAGTGCTCGTTGTTTCCTGTAGAGGCGCACTATTCTTCCGGCTTGCCACTCAGAATAGTACCGGACAACCTCACTTCTTTCTCACTAGCGCCGTCATTATCCATTTTCACCGATAATGGACGCGGGATTCTTCCGCGTAAGATGTTTAAACTTATTTCTCAGTTTTTACAATCTTTCTGATAAGTTGCATAGTGACGCTTTGCTTGTTTAGAACGTTATTGGGAAATTGTATTAAGGTGGGTGGCCATACTGTTAAAAACGGTACGGTCAGGGCTTCGTCTATCAACTGGTAACAATCTTTGATTTCGCGTTTTAGTAGGGCCACTCAAAGTTTTTAGCCATACGTTTCTCAGAAATTAATGCTTGTTACCCTATAAACGAATGGAAAGTTATACTACGTGTACACATGAGCCTTTACACGTTAATTTCCAGATTTGCACACATTTGCGGGAAATAGACCGGCCGACCTAGCTAGTTAGCTACTGCTAATATGTTAGCATTGGCTAAAAATGGCGCCCGGTCTGCATATCGGTTTCTCTCTCTCTATGATAGCTAGTCACGAGTCACTACCACTGCTCCGCGCACGTTGGCGTATATAAGCAAAACTAAAGATGATTAAAGTTACGTTACTAATGTGACTTTCGGTATTCCTCTCAGGCTAGTGTCATTGTCGATAAAGATAGCTTGCAGCCGGACTAATATTGGCCTGTCAGGTTCCCTTGGAGGATTACGGAGGCTAACGTTAGCTTATTGGTATCGGTGTCATATCTGACTCGGTTTGTCTGTTTACATACCGTGGCTACGTCTAACGTTACAAAAGTTAACAATTATTTATAATCTTAAAGGTATCGACATATATTTGATAGTACTAATGGTTTTAACTTAACGTTAACTTTAACTCTTTGCTTTTCGTTACCAATGTTTCCGGGTTAAGTGCACCAGGGATACGCTAACCAAACACCAAGGCAGTTTGCCATCTCGTCGGGCATGTCTCAGGCTTAATTTGATATGCGTGTCACATATTACATTAAACAGGATAAGTAAGATTTGATTGTTTGTTTCTTAGGGTACAAGTGCGGAGCAAGACAACCGGTTCAGCTTTTAACTGCTGAAGCAGCTAAAATTTGCAGAATGTCTGGACAAGAAGGTATATAATCATCCATGTTTTTATCTCTGTTACACTTTTATCTATTCTAGACAAATTGCTGTTCCTAAAAGTGTAATGACCGCATAGGTATTTAATGTCCTAGCTGTTGTTGCCATTAGAGGGGTTTTCTTTAAACAGCTGAATGAAACCGTGAAACACATAGGTCCCAGTAGACGATGTAGTCTACCCTGGTGGTTCAGTTGTTGATTGTCTTTACTAACTGGGTGTCATTGTTTCACCCCTAGGTGGACATGACCAAAGTGAACTTGGAAGTCATCAAACCGTGGATTACTCAGCGTGTAACCGAGATTCTGGGGTTTGAGGATGACGTCGTCATAGAGTTCATATTTAATCAGCTTGAAGAAAAGGTAACCTCTCTAGTTATGTTTATTTTTATATTTTCAAAACTGTCGTAAGTTTGAGGGCATTGCTTAGTCAGTAAGAAGGGTTATCAAATAATTGCACATCCTATTCAAATTAAAATTGAATGCGTAAACCACAATTGGTATCAACCTGATTTATAATGACATAATCATGTTTCTTTTATGTGAAAAAGTGCCTTTATTCAGCAGTCTTCTAATGATGATGTGATTTATGATTTAAAAGGCCTGAACCAATATGGATGTTATACCTTGCATCAGAAGTATAGCACCAACACCTAATTAGCTCTCTCCTGAGCCCAAAGTCACTGAGCCCAACTCTCCCTTCATGATGCAGTGTGTGGTTTGAGGTGAGTTATATGCAGGGATCACCTATATCATGTCAGTGAAAGAAACACCTGAACAATGCCATAATCATATTCTCCGTAGGTATTTACAGTGCATCCTTTAACTGAACAGATCCCTTTAAATGCAATTGAAATTATAGGCTGAAAACAAGGAAAGGTTATCAGTTTGCCCTAGCCTACTGTTAGGTCTAATGGATCTCATTCTTTACATTGTTTAAAGTAAGAGTACATTTACACCAAGCTGTAAAGTATTGTCTCATTAACCAGCTCTGATTGAAAGTTTCAAATATTTGGCACCTCTGTAGGGTGTGATCAGATGTGTCCTCTGCACTTAGTAACCACAGAGTGATGTGCAGGTGTTTTGAACACATCCCAGGTGCATCACTGTATCAAGTTTAGAACTTCAAACATGGAGACCATCAAAAATAAGATTTTTAGCTGATTTATATATAGGGTTGGGAATCGAATTCAAAATGCCAAGTACTGGGTACCTCTTAAAACAAAACAAACCAAAAAAAAACAAAAAAACAAAGCAATGGAATTTCAGTTCTGCTTATTGGTTCCTAAACATGAACCCTTAAATTTTGCAAATGATGGCTGTTACCTGCTAGGACATATGTAACTGTCTGCCAGGACCTGTTTATTAAGTGACTGTCACACATTAATGCAGCAGCATGTCCACTTGTTTAGATACAAGATAGCATGCATGGCTAATGCCATTTTTGTAACTTACAACAGTTTGAAAGCTTGGCTGTGGTTTTAAAAAAAAAAAAGCAAAAAAAAAAAAGCATGGCTTCAGAAGAGAAAATTACGGAAGAGTATTAGGGCCACTGCATACATTTTTTTTTTTAATTCTGACTTTAAACTCAGAATTAAAAAAAAAATTTATGCTGTGGCCCTAATACTCTTCCGTACAAAATGACAATACAATGTGTAATGCACAAGGGAAGTTAATTAGCCACAAGTCTGGTTGCATGTTGTTTCTCACCAAAATGCAGCACAGTGTTGATCTGAAAGCTAGTGTTGATGTCCTGTGGTCTCTGAGTCCAGTGTGTCATCAACCAATGTTAGTAGCACCTCAGCAAGTACCTCCAGTAGAGCCAGGCACAGCTGAGGAGGGATTGGTTATGGAATTTGTAGCAAAAGGGGTTGGAGGGTAGATTTTTTTTTCTTTTTTCTAAATAAGATGTACACCAAGCAGTTCAAAACTGGTCTCAAAGTTGACAGTTGTTGGTGTGAGATTAGTTTACATGGACAATTAGAACATTTTCTTCTACTAATTATCCACAAATATGACTTTGTTGTTTGGTTAATTTAAAAACCAGTATTTTCAAGACGAAGTTTCAACATTCCCTCTGTCTCAGGTACTACTAAATTACACAGTTAGACATAGAGCATGTCTGGTAAGGCTCTAAGATGAGTTGTGTGGGTTTCCTTTTGTAATGATACCCGTCTACAGGGTATCACTACCGTTGTCCCAGTGTAACACAAAGCACAGCTACTCTGCACAATTTTTTTTTTTTTTTTTTTGTATGTATTGTACTACTAAATAGAAAAATACTAGTATTTTTTGTGAATGATCAGTTAAAGCTTAAAAGAGAAATAACCTATATAAACGTTTGACTTAAAAAAAAAAAACATTCTGGAATTGAAACAAGGAATCAATAAGCAGGATCGGAATCACTAAAATTCAGATGATACCTAACCCTATTTATGTATCAAATCTGTCAAAACCTCTGACCGCATCCAGCGTCTCGGTTGCATGTGATCAGATGTGCAGCATACTTTTGACTTTCAACTACAAGGAACAGTACCTTCAGCTTGGTATTAGGTTACCCATAAAAACTGCAGATTAACTCAAGTATCTATAGTGGTCATGTTTTTGACCTTAACATAATCCTTCTTGTCAGTAGAGCTGTATTATTGAGCCCCACTAATGATGTGTATTTCATTTTGGAGACTAAATTGTACATTTTGTACAGTTCTTCATTCCATAGGCTATAGGCTGCTTTATTTAAATGGACTTATGTCCATAAAGTTTGCTTTTTAAAATCATACTACCCCACTGATATGTTGAACCACTTGGGATGTCTGAGTAATAGGTCATTTCTGTTACACAGACTTGCTTTTGGAAATAGGAAAAAAGGGTAATGGGTGGGAAAAGACTCAAGTAATTTATGCACAGTATCCTCCATTAGACTGTTACTAGACTCACATCCCATAGTACATGTAAGTGCAAGTTTTGGTATATGACTTTTTCTTCAGAGATGCTAAAAACAGTATATATGTGACACCAGGATTGCACACAACTTTTTTTGTTGTTTTTTTTCCTTCCATCTTTTCATCTGAACTTTTACTTGCCATTGGCTTAATGGGGGGGGGGTCTGTTGAAGCTAAGTTTAAAGGGTACTGTTGCATAATGGTAAGAGGATAATTGAATCGAGATTACGGTATCTCACAATTTTTCTTATCAGTTGTTGAAATAAAACACTTTGTGTAACTGTGTACTCATTATTGCTTGTTCGTCTCTTGCAATTTAGATAAATGATATAACATTAAGCTCAAGGTGGTTGAGTCTCAAGCAGTAGGGAGGCGGAAGCAAGCCAAGGGAGCTCCGTGCCCACTGATCCCACGGGACTCACTGAAGACACCGGAACTGTACTTGCAGTGTTGGGTTTTTAATGCACTCTGTATTAT